ATATATATACATATATATATATACATATATATATATACATATATATATATACATATATATATATATACATATATATATATACATATATATATACATATATACATATATATATACATACATATTACGGAGTGTATATATTAAAAGCACAATTTTTAAGATAAATATGGTGAAATTTTTTTTGCACATTAAAAATATACATTTACAATGTAAATAGAAGTAATATAGCGTCTCATTGTTCGCTTGTTCTTTGTCTTTTGAGTATAATAACACAATGTATACATCACTGCATGTAGAATCTCCATTAGCACAAAAATCTACATACCAAGTCCATTTCAGAAAACGATATAGTGAGAGTATCCACATCGCTGCCGTCGAAGGATGAGCACAACATATTAATTGTCAACATATGGTGTTATTCAAGCGTGTCCTGTTCATAGAGATCGATATCATTGTGTTACAACTGCTTGTTATGAGTTGCATTATAAAACGCGTCAATGATCTACATGATATTTAATCTGGTAAAATACATACCTATTTCCCTTTCACTGAATGACATATTAAGAACGCCAACATCGTCGAAATCCTCGATTTTTTCCCTCTGTTCGTCGGTGCTTTCGGCCATGACTGCCCTGAAGTATCACAAATACTCTACCATACACGGGACAATAGTTTTGGGATAGGATGGTTCATATTTCACGAAAATTTTTAAGGATTGAAAACCGATACCTGGAAAACGTCACTTCTGCCCAGAAACCGACTATTATTCAGCAGACCTTTCGTTGCCTTCCGTTCTTCCCTGATCTCAAATTTCACGCCCGCATCGAAAGGCCTGCGGAGGAGGTAGGAAATGTATGAACGTAGTTCCTCTCCGAACTCCATAAACACCTCTCTCGGAAGACGAAAATTTTTTCCCACGTTTCTTGTGGAGCTTCTCCACTGATCATATTTTGCCACCATTCTTCTGTCCTGCCAGGTTGAACCCAAAATCTTCGCTTCTTCGAAAACAGTCGTCGTTGTCTTGCATGTTTCAACTTTCAGTAAAAACCTGATCGCCTTCTCAACAAAAATGCCATAATAGTATACAATTACTTTATGGTTTCCGTGTTTGGATGGCCTGATCCAAACACGCGGAAATGTTGCGAGGGTTAAGAAAAGCGAGCGAAATCACGAGCCGAAGGCGAGTGATTTTGCCCGCTTTTCTTAACTCGAGCAACATTCCCAAGTGTTTGGATCATTCCATCCAAACACGGAAACCATAAAGTAATTGTTTTATAAAATAACAACAACACGATAGTCTTCCGTGTTTGGATGGCCTGATCCAAACACGGCTTTCGACCAATCAGAATACGCGTTATGTACATGTTATTTTATAACATCATTTCTATGCTTAACATATATCTTCCAAGCCAAAGTTACTCCATGCATTTGGAAAATTAAGGGAAAAAGCTGCTGTAATCGCCGGTAATAACATAATTGTAATGTAAACAAAAATTTGTATTTCCCGTCACTGGCCGCCTGTTGGCATGTGAATAATTACATAACGCCTGCCGGGCCAGCCCGCCTCATATGAAGCAAGTACAAACTAGCCCGGCAAAGCGGTCCAGCCCGCTTTCGTGGTAGCCTGGCAGCCTGCGTAGCGGTTAAATATCAGAGGAAGATGGCGACCATGGGACAACTTTTTCTGAATTTACACATCTGATTTTGTCCATACGGCATATTTAATCAATGGTTTTGGGAGACAGCGAATTCAGTTTCCAACATGGACTTTTGTGATGCTTGTGATGTTACTCTGAGTGTATATCCACACCGGGCAAGCTTGAAAAATATGCCTGACCACGGTGGGAATCGAACCTACAACCTTTCGAATGCTTGCCCAATCTTGCCCGGTGTGGATATACACTCAGAGTAACATCACATGCATCATATTCACCTGAGTACATTACACCGACACAGAAAAAATCATGGACTTTTGTGTTTAGCACTTTATTTATAAAAGGAAAAGGGAAATGTAAGTCCAACATAAAAACGAATAATTAATACGAAGTGACTATATGACCAGCAGCCGGTCACAGTTTATCAAATACTAAATGGCCGGCAGTCTAGTGACAATTGTTAAAGTCGAATTTTTATAAGATAAACCGATTCCCAACCCCTTCTCTAACCCCTAACCTTTTGAGAGTTACAAATGTCGGAAAAAAGTTTAAGAAAAAACAATGCTAAGTCGGACAAAACACATCCCGACCCTGTTTAACTTTCCGCACACAGCGTCTTTGCCCATTACGCCAACAGCAACCTCAGTAAATGTTAACGCAAACAAAAGTTTTTATATTCAACTATAGTCACTAGACTGCTGGCCATTTAGTATTTGATAAACCGTGACCGGCTGCCGGTAATATATTCACTTTGTAATTAATATGGTCATATGGAAATCTTTGGAACTCATTAATAATAACAATAATATGCTCATGACTCATTACATGTGCTGCGTACACGAATAAAGGTATTGACCGTTTAAGTCTATCTTATCTTTTTTATATTGAAACGTGCTTCTTCATATTAAAGAATTAATTAATTTTAGCCGAACGTTTTAATTTGGGTTCAAATTAATAGCCGGTCTATACTTCCATAGTTTTATTAAAACTTGTAGCGACGATAACAGTACATCTGCGGATTGATAGAAATACAACTACTTGAAAAATACAAGCACAACTTTGACTTTCAAATGAAGGCCCTTGTAAAAATATAGTACATAAAAAAGTACATCAATCACAGTCGTTATACTATTATCATAATGTTTAATAATAATAAAACGAAGCTAGCACATAAACAGTTCATATCATCATCCAATATGAATAATAACTTACAATAAATATAAACAAAATAGTTAGTAACATTTGATAATATTAACCCATCAAACGATGTTTGTACATTTTACTCTGGCTTTAATTAACTCATCAGGAATAAAGTATTTGCTTGTTCCAACACAAATTTTAGACAGCTAGAGCAATGCACATATTATATAGATGTTTATTGGGTTAATATTATAATGAATAGTCAATATAACACATGTGTACTTGTGACAAATCAAACTCAACTTCATTTAATGTCGTGTTTGTGTGATGTTACTCTGAGTGTATATCCACACCGGGCAGGCTTGAGGCATATTTTTCAAGCCTGCCTGATGTGGATATACACTCAGAGTAACATCACACAAACATCTTATTCACCTGAGTACATTACACCAGCACAGCAGATTTCATGATTATTAGATTACACTGATATCGAAGGAACTAGACTCAGTTCCGAAATATCGCATACTCGAACCGTCCTGACCGCGTAGCCCAGTTGGAAGAGCATTGGGCTAGTATTCCAAAGGTCGTAGGTTGGAACCCCGCCGTGGCCAGGCATATTTTTCAAGCCTGCCCGGTGTGGATATACACTCAGAGTAACATCACACAAACATCTTATTCACCTGAGTACATTACACCAGCACAGCAGATTTCATTTAATGTCTCCATTGAATGCTTCAATGTTTAGAAATGTTTTTGTGACTTGATTATTTTTTCCACTTCCCTTCTACTTCTTCATGTTTAGAGAGCACGTCTTTCAATGTATCAGCTGCACCTTTTCTCTTTCATGTTAAATTACTTGTTTGTGTGATACTCAATGTTTGTTGAGCGCTGTTTGTGGATAATTCAGTGGATACAACTAATGGTCGAGTGCTGCTTGTGGACAATTGAGGGGACACGACTGCTGGTTCAGCACTGCTCGTAGATAATTCAGGTGACACGATTACTGGTGGATCATTGTTTGTGAATAAATCTGAGGGCACGACTAATGGTTGAGCGCTGCTTGAGGATAATTGAGGAGATATGGCTGCTGATAGGACACTGACAGAATTATTGGTTGACCACTGTTTGTAGATAATTCAGAGGACACAACTACCGGTCAAGCACTGCTTGTGGATAATTCAGCCGACATGACTACTGGTCGAGCGCTGTTTATAGATAATTCAGGGGACACTACTGGTCGAGCACTTTTTGTAGATAAATCAGCCGATACAACTACTGGTGGAGTACTGTTTGTAGCTAATTCAGGAGACACTGACACAATTACTGGTTGACTACTGTTTGTAGATAATTCAGAGGACACAACTACCGGTCGAGCACTGCTTGTGGATAATTCAGCCAACATAACTACTGGTCGAGCACTGTTTGTATATAAATCAGCCGATACAACTACTGGTGGAGTACTGTTTGTAGCTAATTCAAGAGACACTGACACAATTACTGGTTGACCACTGTTTGTAGATAATTCAGAGGACACAACTGCTGGTTGAGTGCTGCTTGTGGAAAATTTTGGGAATGATGTGAGATTTGTTGTCACTGCTTAATCCAATATAAACTAATCTAAAAGATCAATATATATTGTATATAGTAAAAATATTTGGTAAGTATGCTCTATTCTCACATCCCTTGCAGTCCCCATTGTATAAATCATGTGCAATAAAGTGCCTATATCACTTGTGGGACTTTTATGGATCTGAAAAGAGCGTAAAAATTTGGTTAATAAGTTAAAAATATTTTTTTGATTTGGTGCAATAATTTCGAAGATACAGGCCTCTAAACTACCTACAGTTCCTGAGTCCCAGGCTCCCTATGCACAATGAGCAGATTGGAAAAAGGCCAAAATCAAAAGCTCTGTTTAGAGCCCTGGGGCCAGTTGTTCAAAGGTGGGTTAGCGCTGACCCTGGGTTAAAATTAAACCTGCTGTTTTAGTTTGTTTATTTATGGACGTCTGTTTATTTCAAGACTTTAGAGAAGTAAACTCCTATCGATCCAGACAAGATCTCTGAAAAAATATTTCCAAATTTATAGACAAGCTGTCAGGAAGTTTGCTTTGAATTTTAGGTTAACCCAGGGTTAAGCTAACCCAGCTTTGAACAACCGGCCCCAGGAGGCTGGGACTCAGGAACAGTTCATTGTTTAAAGGCCTATATCATCAAAACTATTTCACTAAAAAAAATCTTTTGAACTTATTAACTAACTTTTTACCCTCTTTTCAAATCCATAAAGGTCACACAAGTGATATAGGCACTTTAATGAATGGCATTGTGGTAATCATATTACAATTTGCCAAAATGGAGTCTGGATTATACCTTTCCAATTTCAATTAATTTATTATAGTTCAATCATGTATCCAACAAAGTGGATGTTCCTTTAAAAAATATATAAAATTTTCAAGTTTGGGAACACACTTTAAACATATTATGAATTTGAAATGTAAAGCTTATACAAAGTAAACGTTCCTATAATACACGAAAATCTGTAGGTAAAAGCCACACTTTTAAAACTCTAGAATAACTTCCTCCATATAGATGTTTACAGATTTTAGCAGTATAGTGGATTTTCAATTCCATTCGTATTTTGAAAACATGCATGTGTTCTCTTGCCGGCCACATAATATTGGGGGTGCAAAATTGGAAGGGAACAATTGTATCCATATAACTTTTTTGTTGAGTATAGAAATCGCCAAATCGGTAGTTCCCACATGGCCATGAAACTTTACAATAATGCCAAATATCATTCTAAAGCCCTGGGCAAACTAGGAAACATTGTTGCGGAAACATTGTTTCCTGCCAATGTTTCGCCATGCTTCCAAGAGTGGGCAAACACTATAGGAAACATTAGTAAGAAACATGGGGAAACATCAAATGTTTCTGCATTTGCTAGGAAACATTTTTGCTTCTCGGGAAGCAAATTTTGTTTCTGCAACAATTGTTTCCATACACGGGTGGGCAAACATGGAAACATTTGAGGAAACATCGCAAATCACAAATGTTTCCGCAAAAATGTTTCCTAGTTTGCCCAGGGCTTAAGAAGATACAAAATAGATTTTATTGTTTAAAATAACCTATCTTCGTCAACTTTTTCACTGTTAAAGTTTCCAGATATTATGACATTTTGTGAATTTTTGAAGGAATTCATTTACAGTAAATTCACCCAATGATATCATATCAGATGCTTGGACAGTGAAAAAGTCGATCAAGATGAGATTTTTCACCTATGGTACTAGCCTACATTTCTTCTTGAATGATCCAAAGATCAAACACAGGAATAACTAGAGGGCACTCAGAGACTGCATACCTCCGCCCACATTAAATTTCGGTCGTGTGAAATGCAACTAAGACGATAGATAATTAGGGCTGAAGCTTAATGAGGTTTATCATCTCATTGTCTTCTTAGTACTGCGTGCATACATTATACACGTCCTAATTACACATTCAGTGAGTTTTTTTTTAATTGACCGGGAAAAGCAAGACAAAATTTTGTTCATTTCTCGTTCAATTTTTAACCAAATTCAACCAAATTTTAATCAGTTCTTCCTTATGCACTCAAAATATTTTGTGTGAATATGTTTGGTATTTCATGAGTTATCGTGCTCACAGACAAACACACACACATACACACACACACACACACACACACACACACACACACACACACATACAAACCCAGATGATTACATAACCTCCTGGCGGAGGTAAATATTATGAATTAACATATGTGTAGTTAATTAATTGAAAAACCAGTATAGAAATATTATTTCTGAACATGAAGTGTTTAACATTAATTTAACCAGTAAATATTGTGAATTCAGCATTAATTGATGTATACCTTGAGAATCTGCAACATTTGAAGGTGTTTGATCCCTGTCCGGCAGATTTGACGCAGCGTTGTTGATTTGCCTGGCATCACTTAAATTAATGGTTGATGAATCGAATACTAAAAGTTATACAAAACATGTACACAACATTTAGTGATAGACGACGCAAATATAGTTATGTATTATCAATATACTGTCGATTTAGCCGTATGACAACGTTGACAAATACGTTTTGAGTGATAAGTCGTTGTCATAGAATGATGTCTTTTAACACGTTAATCAAGTACGAATATACGTAATGTAATTTAAACACACATATTTAAAACATACCATCTATTCACTATTGTTTTGTGTTTACATACCATCAATGCATTTTTCCACTTTACAATAATTGTGTAAAAATTCTCTTAGATTGGTAGGAATGCCGTGTTTAGAAGCTAGCACACTGTGTGTGGAACAGAACGCCAACTGTTGGCTCTCAGGCTCGTTTGTACATACATTCAGGTAGTTGACCAAAGGCAGATCACTGATTCTTGCTTTCACTGGGTACATACAATGAGGGTGTCAAAGTTTCCATATTCCATCCATGGCTACAAAGTTCTTACAACCTGTATTGTAAGGTAAATCACATTTTTTATTATATTACTTTATCCTGAAACATTAACGCTATGTATCCCGCAAGGTGACTGTTTAACATGTTTTGTATAACAAAAGCCACCCACATATTATAATTGCAAATTTTAATTGACTGATGGAATTTAATGAAAGATGTTACTGTACATCAATATCAGTATAGGCGCTTATATTGCCCGCTGTTTATATATACCTTCGTGTTTTCTGTCATATATAATCTGGGACGCACTGCATGTTGGTGCATATCAATAAGTCATGTGGTAATTAGAAAAATAATGATTTACAATCTTACCCTTTTCTTTACAACAGGTAGAGCAGTCACTTTCCAAGTGTTGGTATATCTTGTGTCGCCTCGTACCATCAACGTGATCCATAAATGAATCCTTCATTTCATCCACTGTTCCTTTAAAAACCCATGTCATTCCCCTATCTCTTATTTCTTGTTCCATTTCGTGCCAGTAAAACGTATCTGCCACTATACTCCGGTCTAACCGACTTACTGCAAAAGAGTATGTGGACGAAAATCTTCAAAGTTGATGCAAGTTATGTTACAGCAAAATATACTGATATAGAAACCCTAACCTATTCATTTAATTTTTGAAATAATGCATGATCACACTCAGTGGAGGGGCCATTAAGAAAAAGGTGGAAACGTAGCAAGCCGCACTCAACATCGTTCACAGGACTTTTTCTGAAACGAGATTGACCCACACTAATAGAACTGGCATTTATAGCAATAACATATCATTTGTAATATTCACCAGGAGTCCATGACAAACATACAAAAATCCAATCCCAATTTTGTCAACTTTCTGAGAATGATTTAACGAATTAATTTCTTTAAATACCTAGTGCAAACCTTACCAGCCAACTCTCTTAGGAAGGTTTGTTCGAATAACGAACCGCCGTGAATTTTGGTGGTGTGTGTAGAGACTGCTTCGTTGTAACTTTCTGCAAAGCTAACAAAAGAAACCCACGCATGATTTCTAAAAACGGTAAAAAGATCTAATTTAAATCGGCAAGATAAGTTAAAAACTCTAACTTTTAATTATCTCTTTGTTTTCAAAATATTTTAATTTGTTGGATATGTAAATAAAATATTTGTCATTGGCAAGGGATTTTTGTCAGCCAGAAATTATTGTATTTTCTGATATTTAATGCAAAGGTATGCATGTGAGCTTTTGCACTAATGTGATGAAGAACAGTTTACCAACATAACTCGACAATAGAGGCCCACTCTCAACGGTAGAGTGAACAACATTTAGGGAAATATAGAGGATATTACACGGTGGCAAGAAAATATGAATTTTTATTTTCGAGTGGTTAAAACAATATTTTACGAACGAGCGCATGAAAGCCACCGTGTAATGTTCTGTTTATTATATGTCCCAAGCAAAAAATTGTATAAATACTAAAAGTCACATGATCGATATCATCACTAGTGAAGATATGGAAAATATGTCACTGTGTATTTATCAGTATCTCACTCTCTACTATATAATAAACAGCAATAAAATAAAATTATTTTAATGTATAAGTGCACAGATTAAAATTTTGTTTTAACTAATGGTTAAAATTAATGTTTCTGCTAGACATGTAAACAAAGACATAGAGTCATAGTTATTTTTATAGACGTCAAATTTAGGATAATCAATCAACATCGTCTTTAGGCACTCCTTTGAATCACAAGGGAAATAAAACATTACAGGATTCTAACAAGTTGAATGTCAAAATGTTAGAAATCAATTCATTGTGCATGCATGCACAGTATGTGAATTACTTACGCAAGGAATATTTGAAAACGACAAAGTTTGGCGGTTGACAAATGTGCAATTTGTCGATTGAATGTACAGTCGTTCTACGTCATAAAATTGATAGCCATCGTTCGTGTTGCCAAACCGAGAATAATTGTAATTAATATTGCATGTTTCGCACCTTCTGCAGATGTTTAGAGCTTTCAGTTTCCCCCGTCAAGCTTATAAACTGTTACCTCGCTAGGTTTGTTGTGACAAAGCAAGCGAGTATTGCATTTTATGCAGTTTTCAACGGGAGGTGATAGGAACAGAAACTGTTCTACAGGTGCTGTTATATTCCCGTGTGCAAATCCTCTTACAATCAAGTTCTTTTCTTCTGTGGAGTAATTGAGCCCCAATCCTATAAAAATAATGTCCAGTAATTTTGTTCTGTCCGATGTTGATAGAATGGGAGGAACACTTTTCAAAGCCAGCTGTAACTGTGCTGTTACGTGGAGACCATGTTTTACACACAACACAGATTCGATCTGACATGGATCAACATACTGCATAGACACTTCTTTTATAGCAGTTAACTGGGATATCAACTCTAATCTTTTTCTCTTTTTAGTTTGCAGTTTGGCGAGATGAGCAAGGAAAGATTCGGAGGAGGACGCCATTTCTAACTACCTGTCACTTAATATTCTCCTCAGTGAATCATCCCGTACAAACGTCATGCCTATAAACACGTGCAGATAGGGAGGCAAGGTGCCAAGGGCAAGGTTATGATTTTTTGTGCTTACCAATGGTAATCTTGTAGCAAGTAGCAACACATTCCGGGATGACCAGTGACCACGGAGTGTGTTCGTTTGGAAGGGGCGGGGGGTAGAAACAATATTCCAGTTTCCCGACCGTAATCTTTTTATCTGAAATTTGCAAAGAGTTCGGAGCAATTTTTGTACCCAGTTCGTGGCATTTGTATTGTCTACTGTATATATAGAAAGCACAACCTGTTTGTTTCAAAGTTGATGTTTGTGTCATCTGTGCTGCCGTATATGACATCGAAATCACTAACATGTATGAGCATTTATGGAAAAAAATTAACGAACGAAAAACCAGCCTACCCTACTGTAAACTTTACCCTACCTAACAGTAAAACTAGCTCATCATCTCATCCCAACATTAATACTATGTCCCACAGTAATTGTGAAAAAGCTTTCAAATTAAGACAATTTTAATTAAAACTGAAATTGAAACCTATCCCAACCCTGACACTAACACTAATCTGATCTTAATCCATCCCTAATGTTAATTTGAGCGTTTTTTTCCCCTTAACACAAACCCTTAATTTTGGGAATACATGTTGATTGGCTATAGAGTGTAAATGTTTTTAAATTTCCAAATAGTAAACTTCAAGCCCACAACATTTGAACCACATTAAACTATACTAGAAAATACATGCATGCAGAAACCCTCGCCTTGCTGACAAAACCATTGTATTTTCCGAACATGAAGTATCCAAAGTTGTTGTCATGGTAACACGATAATTTTTGAAGAATATTCTTACAAATGAAAAATCGCCTAAAAATATCACTTTTAATTACAAAATTATCAATTTCCTAACATATATATGTTAGGTATGTTATTATACATAATATAAGTTTAAATTTAAGGTAAAATTCAATCACAAAAGCTTCGCAAAACGTTTTAAAATGTTCTTTATAAAACTATTAAAACTGCCTCTCGAACTGCCTTTAATTATTAAAATGGCTTTATCGATAAACTTTGAGTTTGCAATAAAATGATTTTAAATTCTTGCATGCAAATAACTTTGCTTTCTTTTTTATTTAAAAAATTCAATATAGGCCTAATAAAAAAGGGAATCAATATTATTAATACACTGAAATTATATACTGTCTTGTTTAGTTGTTTCATATATGCAAAGCCAAAGGGCCAAAGCAGCCGTCGGGTTTTAAAGCAATTATAAAATCAATATTTAAAACAAACTTACTTTCGTTGACGTCGGCTCCCTTCTTTTAGCCGATTCTTTCGCCCTTTCTTTCTTGAAATTTACAAAATCTTGCAAAAATGCGAGCAAAGTTTATCAATCATCAAATCAAGAAATGTTTGCTATTGTCGTCATACAGTCGACAGTCGTTATAATGCAAACTTTAAATTGGACCAATCAGGGTCCGCGCTATTCATGACAGTCCGCCATATTTTTGAGATCAGTGAGGATGACCACCCACCGAACCACTCACAGTAACCCATGCCCGCGCTCATTGATGAACTTTAGACTTGGCTAATGCTTTCGTTTCCCTGGGTGTAAATAGCTGGGGGGAATTAGTACCCTTGCACGGCGCTTGCGCCGTCAGCTCGGGGATTAACTAAATCCAGGCTGACATCAGCCTTAAGAAAATATCTTTCAAAGTACCTCATGTATTGGAAATAGGCAGTTCAAAATTAACTGATAAGCAGAGCATTGTTAATGCCTTTAATAATTATTTTGCATCCGTTGGTCCTGAGTTGGCTGCCAAAATTCCTAGTGCTAATTCAACATTTGATAAATTTATGACTACCCCTCTCAGAAATAGTTTCGTATTGTTTCCTGTTATAGCAACTGAAATTGAGCAAGAAATTAATAACTTAAATGCTTCTAAATCAAATGGTCCTTTCAGTATCCCCACTAAACTGCTTAAAATTTTAAGTAACCTTTTATCTGCACCATTGACATTCCTAATCAACTATTCTTTTACTGTTGGTGAGGTCCCAAAAAGTTTCAAAATAGCTAAGGTAATCCCCATATACAAAAAAGGAAGTAAAGTTACAATGTACAATTACTGTCCCATCTCCTTATTATCAATTTTTAGTAAAATTATGGAAAAATTAATGAATAATAGACTAATTGATTATTTTCAGAAGAATGATGTTCTCTTTAATGGCCAATTTGGATTTCGTGCTAGCCATTCAACTGCGCAAGCTATTTATATAATATATAGTTAAAAATGATTATATAGTAATGCTGTTAAACAGTGAGTAAACTATAGATATTTTAAACATAAGAGGAGATTTTTAAAACAAAATATTATTTTAAAATATGTGGCGGCTTTTAAACTTAAAAGCTTTTTACTCCTTTTCGGCAATTACAACGTTAGAGGAATCTTTCGCGCCTTGTCAGCCGGTATTTCTTCAAAGAAATACCTATCTGTAGAAAATAAATTACGAAGGCTAACATGTAAACAAATCAATTCAGTTCTGAGTAGCTACAAGCCATGGCTGAGCGGAAAAAAACATCAAAGAAAGTTTATCCGAAATCTGCTATAGATTCTGTGGTGGGATTTTCGAAAAAAGCAGAAATTGTGAACGGTGGTGCCCTTATCTGCGAGGAAGGATTTCCTATCTGCGAGGAAGGATTTCCTCATCTTTTATGTCGGGCTTGTGATAGACGCTTGGAGAACTTTGAGAAGTTTAGAAAAGTTGTTCGTGACGTGCAAAATGGTTTAACTCGGGAGAAAAGATGTACTGGTGTGTCACCTTCCGCACCTGTAAGCAGAGCCAAAAGTTTGAGATCTCATAATTTGAATGCCCCGTCCCGTCATGGCCTGTCCTTTAGTTCCAGTGGAATCTCGAGCGATACTAGTATGCCGCAGTCAACACCAGATTCAGCAAGTCAGCCATCCCAGGTAGGTTGAGATTGAAAAATGCACAGTAGTCAATATAGTGGTTTATACTCGAAAAAACATGATCTTAGCCATGAATAATTTTTTGAAGGCATCTTTGAGAAGATAAATGTCGAATTGCGTGGTGTGACACAAATTTGATGCTTCAAAGTCGCAGTTTTGACAGGCTAAGCAATTTTCCGTACAAGGAGATGGTAGAAGAAGTAAAGACCATGTGTCCTATTACATATAAACTGTTAACTTGTATGCTGGAATTAGAAAATTGTAGCAAGAAAAAGATTGCTGCGCTGAGTTTGATATACAGGGTGATTATGTTCAAGAGGGGCAAGGAACTCTGCTTTATCCAAAGGATTAACACCATTATTGTGTCAGACAGCGGTGAAAACACCGAGGTACTGTAGGCTGATTTTTTTTCAGGGCAGCGTTCTTAATAAAAGCCGCATTAGATGTATAAGAAGCAATTTTGACTGAAAATAATTGCAACTTGCAAAACAATAGTGATGATATGTCATTAAAACTGTGCTCAAACTGGCTGTTTATTTAATCGGAGATTTCTAAATATTAACCCATTAAGCAGCAGCGCTCTCCCCTTGATGAGTAAAATCGTCTGGCATTAGACAGAGTAAAATACTAAAGTAGGGTGCATCAGGGTGCAATGCGACTCAATGGGTTAACTAGACACATGGGCAGATAGGCAAGTTAACCCATTAAGCGCCAGCGCTCTCCCCTTGACGAGTAAAATCATCTGGCATTAGACAGAGTAAAATACTAAAGTAGGGTGCATCAGGGTGCAATGCGACTCAATGGGTTAATTGAACATCTTGCCAGTTACATTGCCGGATGTTTAATAATGGCCCGTTTAATGTTTATTTAATATAAAGTCTTATAATTTTTTTCATGACTTTTCTATCCTGAAAAACATTGTTATTGATACAGAAACAATCTTGCTACCCATTCATTTTGTTTTTGCCTGCCTTTGGGAGGCAAATTGTGCATTTGTGCCTTCGCAAGAACGTTGGGCAAACAGGGAAACAAAATATTGCGATTCACAAATATAAATTTCCTACTGTTACCACAACTATATTTCCTGTTTCGCCAGGGTAGAAGAAAAATGTTCTTGTATTAATTTAAAACATGGGTAGGAGTGCTTTATCAGATATAAAATGCGAGGTGGAAGCCGAACATTTTATATCTGATAAAGCACGACTACAAGTGCTTTAAGTGGCTTAAAAAACGATCCATGTTTATGAGTTCATTGGCAAAGTAATTTTCAAAATCAATGTTTTTTAGCCGAGAAAATCAAAGCTAAAGTAACATGAAATTTTTTCACATATAACACTAACGACAGGGTTGTAATTTTCTTTGTTTTTTTTTATGAATTATTGAGTTTTTTAAGTAAGTTTCCCAATGTATGTGGATATGCTAATGCTTTTCATATTAAACAAATGCTTTTCCATGTTTGATTGTGTTTCAAAAGAATAACTGTCTGTTTAAAACTTTTAAATGTAAATTTTAATGTTTAAATACCACATACAAATCACATAATTGCAAATTTTTAGACCTAATAGACTGTTAATTCAACTTTGTGTTTCTGATTAAATATACATTGTATTTTATTTTTACACTCTTTCCAGGAATTAATGTTGTTATTCTTACATTACTTTATTTTCCTATTCAGGTTTATGAGAGGTTTAACAAACTTGGTATATGCTGTGAAAAGACAATGAAGTACAAGATTCAAGATGAGATTGGCGCACATTTCCTGGACAAGGTGGTTGAGCAAGTAAAGGCAGGAAACACCTTTTCATTTGTCCTGGATAACATTGATTGGGAAGTGAAGGTGCACGAAATGCGATCAGATAATCAAAACCAAAGTGTACATGCTGTTGCAACGTCTTTGGTATTTGATTGTGTTTCGTCCAGCCATTTAGATGACACAGAGCCGCAGCAGTCCTTAGCTGAGACTGATATCAAACAGCTTGTCAAACTGAATGTTAATGATGTTGAACAGCAGCGACAAAGTTACAAGATGATAGCAGCTAAAATCCTATGGGAGCAAATCCCCAGCATTCCGCTTTCTTAAGACAGTGGTAAGCAGCAACACCTACCCATCTTTGAAATATGCAGCAGAATTGAAAGGAAAATCAACCATTGTGTCATTCCCAGTTCTTTTGAAAGATGAAAAGAAGTATGCGGACATTGTTGATGTCTTGGACCTGCTTGAAACATGGGTCCATGAAATTTATGCAAAAGCTGGTCAAATTCCAGATATTGATGGTTCGGTTGATGATGAGACTTCTTTGACTGTCGGTCCCACAGAGGGTGTATCTGAATCTACCTCCCGACTTAACCAACCATTATCCCATGTCCATCCTGTAGCTGATCCAAATGACCCATTGGTTAATGTTCGGGTGCCTTGCAAGAATTATTATGTCATAATCAATATTATTTAACTGCTACACTAACATGTACATTCTCCTACAGCCCACTTTCAGGGGGCTGTTATATTTGACTTGCTGTTTCTCTAGCTGTGTACAGCTGTGTTGTTCCAGTGACAAATTTCTGAAAAGCCCCTTACCTGTAATGCCTTAAATGTTTGAATTAAATTCACTGATTGGACAAGGAATTGAACCAACCAGTACAAGTCAACAATAATACCATAATCTCTCTATTAAATGAGCCCAGGGGGGGGGACTTTTTTTAGACCATTTTGAGGGGGCTTATTAAAGAGAGGGATGAACCTTTTTGAGAGAGGGGAGTTTTTTTGGTAAAATTATATAATTTTCTATCAGCTCAAAGCAATGTGTGTAAAACAACTATTTATTCTAACAATTTTAACACAACTCTAAACGTTTTTGGATGTTCAACTGTATACTTTCCAACTTTTCAACTATATATAAGTTTTAAGATGTTCATGACAATGTATTAATTAAGCATCATGTTATTTTTCCAAAAAGAAAATAAATTGGTAGAAATCTTTTCATGAGGGGAGGGGCTTAATAAATTTCTTCACTTAAAAAGGGCTTATTAATGGGGGGGGGGCTAGATGGAGAGGATACAGTTAATGTTAACTAAAGTCATTTCATAATTGATATATACTTTTATCATTCCGGTTCGTATTTAAGAAACTGTATGGGAAATCAGGGCAAGCAAAAGGTACATTGAGATTCTTCCATAAGAAATTACAACGTCGGAATGTCACTAAGGACATCAAGCACTATGAGGACTGTGAACAGTTGTTTCTTTGTGTGGGTAGAGCTTACACTGTCACAGCCTTGCTACACCTTTTTGGCATGGCTGGTATTGATGATCCTCCACAAAACCATCTCTGTCCATATGACGTCATCCATGGAGATGGGGATAAGCTGGAATACCTTAACGCAGTCCTTGATAAGTTTGTGGATGAGTATTTACTGGCCAAGACACAAGTTGATCTTGATCTTAACAAAGCATCAGATCAACATTTTTCTTTATATTAGAATGCATTAGACAGGCAGTGGAGTCAGGTAATGGTGACCAGCTAGCAGCTCTACGTAAGGTGTTACTAAAGCATTTCAAAAGTGACCCTGGCCACAACACTTATGCCATTGAAATGCTCATCAGTATTGTTACGAGCCGGTCCCTACTATTTTGTCTGGCCGCTCTGGTCCTATTTACTCGCAACAAAAGAATGTAAATCTAACCATTTTACCTTTTGATATATATATTTTATAGTAGAAAAGCATTAGTTATATTAATTAAGCTATATGACAATATGGTTAATTAGGCTATATGTTAAAACTTATCTGTCCGAGTGAGCATTGCAACTTGATATAGCAACAGTTCATATTCATAATAAATCATAGTGACCATAGTCCAGAAGATATCCATGTTGTTTTCTTTCTACGTTAATCAGCGCGTTAAAGCAGCTTCGTCTTCAGCCATGGAATACTCTTCCTTAATCCTTCATCATTTCTCTATTCTTAATCATAATGCTAATAATCATAACGTAATCAATCAAGTTCACTGATGCGTGAAGCTACTTTTATAGTGTTGGTCAGAGGATGACTTTGTCATCTTGACGCATTTCCCATACGCAATGCTGCGGTCGTTGGTGCAAAGTTCTCTAACCACACTCATGTCCGTTGACGTTATTTGTGGACAAGGCGTTTACTCTAATCTTTAGAACTATTTGCTTACTCATGCATGTAAGCTATAATATAATAATTAAGTATGAGCTATAGTATAATATAATAATATTTAATATATGTAAAATTACATGATAATAGCCATCATGTAACAGTATTTTGCAAGATGAAGTCTTCTTAATGAAGATACAGGCTCATCAAACTAGGTGGGCTTCAACTGCCAACTGGACAGGTGGTGCCTTAAAGAATATTGAAATAGATCTCCTTCAAGAGAACCTGAATGGGGAGCTGAAGAAAGGCATCAAAGATATGGGAGCTAACAAAATACCAAGATCAATTGAACGGTTTAGCAGAGCAGCTGGAGGAATTACAGAAATCATCAGAAACTTTGATGAAGCTGTGGCAATAAAGAAAAAGAATTCCACCCATAAGCACAAATCTTCAGCAAAGGAGCTGAAACCATTTGAAGATATTAATGACCGATGTCATGAAGGTTTCACAGATGTATCATCTGACACACTAGCAACCTTAAACGAAGCTGCATTTAATGAACGGTTAGACAGACACAAGAAGAACGTTGTGAAGCATGGACCAGTGGATGTATTGTCAGAAGATGAACTCAGATCCACATGATAATCATTGTCAGTGCATTATACTGTAGTTAGATGTGAATTGATAATTTCATATCACTAAAATGAACAAATTAAAATTTTTTTTGCTATCAGCAAGCTACCACTTTAAGATTTATGATCAGATATCAATTCACAACTAATAGACCTTTCCCCTTATAACCAAAATTTTGATCTAGGCAAGTCTAGACAAATATTTCATCACAGCTTGAAAGAGCATCACAAAATTAGTAATATTCCAAAGTTTTGTGGCGAAATGTTGTGTAAAATGAGGAAAATAGAGCCTTGCTAAGTTTGCAATTTTCAGTCATTTTGCATTACAAACGGGAAATTGCAACACCAACACCCGAAGCAGATGTCAATTTCCCATTTGTAATACAAAATGACTGAAAAACGGCAAACTTCGCAAGGCTATATTATCCGCATGTTACAAGATTTTGCAACAGAACTTTGGAATATTGCTAATTTTGTGATGCTCTTTCAAGCTGTGATGAAATTTTTGTCTAGATCGAAATTTTAGTTATAAGGGGAAAGGTCCATTGTAATGGTATGTATGGTAGAGATGTCTAAAGGACTGGGAGGCACCCACCTTTATTGTAAAGGCCAATATTAAGTTGTAATTTCCTGGCTGCGCCAAACTTTACTATTTTACATATTCTACATATTTCACTATTTTACATTTCTATATATCTCACACCAGACAATTTTAGTCTACAAAGGGGTGTGCACACAAGGGATACATTGGGTGCACACTTTCATTTCATGCCAGGGATGCACTGTAATACTGTGCATAGGAATACATTGGATAAACACTATAGTTTTATACCAGGGCTGCACTGTAATCAGTGGCGTAGCTAGCGGTCTTGCTTGTCCTGCCCAGCAGGACTAAAAATTTCCCCAAATTTCCTTACTATAAAAACATTACTTTATTTATCTTGAAGCCTTAAAAATAATTATTATCATACTGTTAATCTCTTTTTCGTTATTATTTTTTAAAAGTTTTCCGTATTCTATTACATTTACGCAATTTTACAGCTTGCCGTGTCTGTTGCCTAGCGACTGCAACTCTATAAAAGCTCATTTCCGGGCAATATATTGATTTACACGCGCTCGTGTTTCGGTCCTGCCATTTTCAAATGGCAGGACTTGCTAGTATATTTCATAGTAAATTCATACAAGAAATCTTGGTTTCTGATTGGATAATTAGATCTGCGCATGCTCAAACCGGCTGTTTACAAATGCGAAGTCCTGCTCTCTCGAAATGGCAGGACTTGGCCTTGTATTGTTAGCCAGTTCATCTGCTTTATGCATTGCATGAAACATAAGCGCTTATATGGAGTTTAAAAAATGACATAGCTACCAATTTATATTTACAAAGTTTATGTTATTTATGTAGATATTTGGCCGCATTTTAATACACTATATTTACTTTAAACGCTACGGCAATTTTCTGAATTATACTATCAGAGTACCAAGCATAGTGGTCCGTAGTTGATTCCACTCCATTTAATATGGTTTATTAAACATTACTAACAAACGTAGTAATTTTTTAACGAATGCTAGCCGTATATGTAGTCATTGTATATTCAACAGGCACTACAACAATTGTTCGGTTATGCAATTGTACGTTGACCAAGTGAAAGATCATATTACAGACGTGTATTGAAAACATGATATTTTCCTCTTACATGACTTGACTATATTTAGCTAAATTTTTAATTAAGTTGAAAAATATATAGTGAAATATGATAAATATGGAAATACGATTTCAAAAAGTGACAAATTTTTTTTCTAAAAAAGTATCTAATTTTTTGGTGCTCCCTTTGGAGTATTTGGCCGTGAAATCACAGGAAACGGCCATTCCAGACTTCTACAATTGAAATTTTCATGCTCCACCCATACCCCCCTAGAATGTGGGAGTTTTAGAGCAGGACCTGTCGAATTTCGCTAGCTACGCCACTGACTGTAATACATATAGAAATTATATTTGGTACACACTGTAATTTTACACAGGGACTACACTTTAATACACAGAATTACACTGGATAAAGACCATCATGGAGCTGCTCCATTTACTGTTTGGAGTACTTCAACTTCAAAGTAGGGGCAGCTAGAACAGAACAAGTTTGCCACGTGATTTATGACGTGGAAAATGGTGGCGTCTGTTCTCACTTACTTTCAGTGCTCGTTTTGCAGATTGTTATTTAAAGATTTTGCTGCGGTATCGACTCATGCCTGCTCAAAAATACAAACAAAACCACAAGGATCAACTCAAGAAAGCACAAATCAAATACCGAACTGTTCAAGCGTAAATAACGCAAGGAAAGAGCAGCATCAAACTCGAAACACAACCAGTCAACTGCCGAATATTAATAATACATTTGCTACTAGTGCAGGAAACTATCGAAGCACAAGTCATCTGTTGGTAAACAACGACACCTTGAGTGAAGATCAAAGCCCACAACTAATCCGGTCGACAAATTTGTTGCCGAACAGCACAGCAACAGGTAAAATTAAGTCTCAAATAGGTTAACTTCTGAGGTAAACAATCAAACAATCAGATATTCAGATTAAACAACAACTAAGCCAAAATAGTGGAGAGAATGAAAGTCAAGAACAAACGATACAACCCTGTAAGTATATTTGTATGTTTGAATGTGTTTTTAAGTATAAAACCTTGGGTATTTGTAACATTTAGTGTAGAAATAATTTTAAATGTTATTTCATTCTAGCTGATCAGAGTGGCAATACCCAGTGGGGACGCCCCAACACATTATTACTTATTGATCTTTACAAGACTTGGCAACTGAAGATTAAAAAGAAAAAAATGCCTGTGGAGTAAAATAGCAGAGCTTATGACGTTGCACAAATATACCCATTCAGGTGAACAATGTGAGGGTCATTGGAAGACATTGTTAAGAAGTTTGAAAAAAGTTACAGATCACAATGCCAAATCTGGACAAGATTTTAAAAGACACCCATATGAAGAACAGCTTGATTTTCTTATTGAGCAGCCAAATATCACACCTTCATATATAGTTGGTAGCAACGTAGATGGTAACCTGCAATCAGGTGTTGAGGAAAGTACAAATGAAGATAGTGATATGGACACTAGTATATCAGAGAGGTCAACATCACCACCAGCCCCAATCCCTGCTAAATAGAAAAGGTCCAATGTATCAGAGGTATTAGATGTTTTAAAGGAACATATAAGTGCACAAAATGCCAGACAACAGGAAAATAATCAACGGCAGAAGGAAATGCATGAAGAGCGTATGGCTGTAATGAAAGGGTTCTTGGAAGTTTTCAAAGATATGAAAAAACAATGAAACTTCAGTATTGTTGAATATTTGTATTACTGTTTTTAATTATTTAAACTGAACATTTAACTGTTAAAATTTGTTTTGGGTTTTGCCAAGGTTTTGTCCTGGAATCATTAATGGTACTCTTGTCATATTATATGTATAGTATATAAAACATAAGTAGCCTTGCGGCCAACCTTGTAAATCTTGCATGTACACTAGCTCAAAGCTATAATATCGTACATATAGTTATACAATGCTTAAGTGACAAAGGTGCCATTAATAAAAATTGATATTTATAGGTACTGCATGTTTATGTTAACAAAGTTTACATGGAGGGTGTTCACACTATACTGTTTGTTCAGTGTCTTTTATGCATGTTTATTTGAGTAACTGAATTGCTGGACGTATTCAAAATATTATGCCATGATCTTTTCATTCAATCATACAGGCCCTTTTTCCTTTACTTTTGATTGGGTGGGGTATTAGAGATCATATCTCATCTTGTCTGTTACAAAATTAAAAATAAAATGCAAAGGCTTATAAATGAAAGTAAAAATCACTGTGTTTGATGTAAATACCATTTTTTTGGCTTGGTGGGAATGGCAAGGGCCATGAAGGATGTAGCCTTATTAGATAATAAGTTTAAAAATGGAGGAGGGCTTTAAAAGTTTCTTAATTACAAAGTGCTTACTTGTTAAGGGCTCTTATGGCAGTTTCACGAGATTCGCAACCCCCCAACACAAAACTTTGCTGAAGTAATGTTTGTTTGTGACATAAGGGCATGGCTACCAACTAGTATTTTATATTACATCCGCTGATGCCATATGTCCAAAACAAACATTACTTCAGTGAACTTTTGTATTGGAAGATCGTGAATCTCGTGAAACTTCTGTAACAAAGTTGTTAGGATAGCCGCTTTTTAAACATCACCATGTCCATGATGTAATTCCGGATCAGCAGGATTTTCTTCTTCTCTGCCGTCTGTGATGTACTGATCTACAATGTCATCATTGATGATACATATATTGTGGAAAATACAGCACACAATGATGGTGTCAACAGCTGTTTTAATGGATTTTGTATCTATCTAATAACTGAAGCCGACGGAATCAGCCTTTAAGCAAGCCAAATGCTCGCTCTATTGCAGCACGTGTTGAAGACAAACGATAGTTGAAGCGACGTTGAATGCGCGTAAGATGACCATTGTTCTTGAATGGTTTAAGTGGCCAGCTTCGCAACGGATATGCACCATCCCCCAACAGATGATTATTAGGGCCACACCACAAAGGACAAATATTCCATATATCAGAATTGCAAAGTATCCTTGTATCGTGGACACTTCCTGGCCAACCTGCAACTGCATGCAAGAATTGAAGTTTATGGGTGCATATACCCTGAAGAACAATTGAGTGGAATTTTTTCCTGTTCACGTAGACTTGCGGGTGTTCATGTGGGGCCACAATAAGAATGTGAGTTCCGTCGATAACTCCAAGAACATTTGGAAACTGAGATGCTGTGTAGAAATCATCAATTATATTTTTTACATTTTCATCATGTGGTAAAAAAATGAACCTCTTTTTTAAGGAGCATAACACAACCCTAAAAATTTGCTCCCTGCATCGAAGAATTGAAGAATCAGTAACATTAAATCGATCACCCATCCTGTGGACGGTGTCTTGTTGGGAAATTTACCAAAGGGTTATCAGTAACTTTTTCTCTGGTGTTATACTTGGTCTCCCTCTTTGAACCACTGGAGTTACAGCTTCCGCTATTTCCTGTAAAATAATTTCGAATGTCCCTCGCAAAATTCTAAAAAATCTTTGAAAGTCATCCAGAAGATAATTTGGTATGGTTTCCTCTGCATAGCCATGTACTTTTCTTCTATCTTCGCGAACTCTTTGAATGAAAACACAAAATTAATACAGAAAATAAACGAAGGAATATCAAAAGATTGGTGTATAAGTATTACATATATAACAAAAATATAAATAGTACAAAATAAAAGTACATAAACTACTTCATACTTTTAAAATAATGCGGTAATTGTTTATTAGTATGTTATAAACAAAGTATACGAATCTTTAAATAAGGCCCCGTTCATCTTGATAATACATACTGTACTATTGCACACGTACAAGGCAGTTGTGACCACAATAATATTTTGAAAGAAATCATCACTTTCAGAACCAGCTTCTATAAAGGAATACAATAGCAAAATCGGCATTAAATTTTCCACCATATTGAAATGAATTTCAACCTGTGAACAGGCGTAACAGGTGTTGTAGAACATACTGTGCACTCCATTACCACGTCACTCCAGAACAGTGCTCAAATAATTCAGAACAGTAAATGGAGCACTAACCATATGTCTGTATTATATAGTTGTGATAAATAGTTGCGATAATGAATGGTACCAAACAATATCACTACAAAAATGATATATACATGTATGATTTCTCCAATTTACTATTTAATAATTAGATTACGAGCTCCAGATTTCTATGGTGTGAAGTTGATGAAGGCAAAGCCTGGATCAACTGTCACCTCAAAGCAAGTAATCTAATTGTTTTAGTAGTATTGCTGAGAGCAAGTAATCTAATTGTTTTAGTAGGATCAAATATAAAATATTGCACAAAAACAATGAAACATGCAGACTGAAAGCGATTTTCTTTAAAAAATGGGCTAGCGAAATTATTGTTTTGCTACTCGCTATCTATCGAGGAATAGGTATTGAGTAGAGTAGCCAATCAAATTACAGCATTTGCAATAATAGTATACTGATATGATTCTGCTAATGGTATTTAGCACTAGTTGTTGAATGTGCCAGGAAACAGACAGTGCTTCATCAACCCAAAGACAGTTCTTATTGTCACTGTATTAAACTACACTCAATACATGAACAAGCCTCCATGCACACGCTGCAACATAAATGTCCTGGTGAAAATGACTCTGGTTTGTTGATGTCAAACATTCCAAAAGCAAACATCGTAAGCATTGGTTTTCACCACGACAAACTGTTCTTATTTCATCCTGGATCCCTTGTTTGTTTTTTCCAATATCCCTGTTATTATAATAGAGGGTAGCTTTGGAATATTTCCCATCTCGACCTGCTCTCCCAGTTTCTTGAAAATACTCGCGTATTGTTCTCGGGGGTCCAATGTGTATAATGTGCCTGATTGAAGGAATATGCACTCCCATTCCAAAGGCTACTGTGGCAAAAACCACTCTTACCTTTGGTGTTTCCATGCTCAATTGTAGCAGAATCTCATCCTTCATTTTGGCTGTTTGTGGTGCATGAACTTGGGCAAACAGTCTATTCTTTGGAAGTGGCATGGCACCGAAATGATGATATTGGTGAATATTAAGGATACTTTCGAAAAGCCTGTACACAAAACCGCACCATTTCAAAGGCATGTAAATAATTGTTAGAGGATAGTTAATTTTCATGTCCAGCAGGTCAATAGCAATTGGTCTACAAATATTGTCAAAAGCATCAATATCTTGACCATGTCTGAATATTTTTTCATAAAAAATATTACTTCTATCAGGGTTAGCAACCAATTCACAACAATTTTCCAAACCATGTGACTCCTTTATTTGCATTCGGTCAATGTTATTAGCTGTAGCAGTCATTGCAATTACTGGTACATTGGGAAATGTTGCACACAGCATGCTAAGTTTCCCATAGGCTGGTCTGAAATCATCTCCCCTAAACAAAATTAATACAATATTAATAATGTGATATTTTAGCTAATGATATCTAAAAGAAGACCTCAAAAAAAAAGCAGACATTTCCATGTATGTGGCCCTATAAATTTATAATACTGTAACTAACAGATACAGCTATATCAAAAAGATTATATTAAAGGTGTTTCACTAAAATTCTGAGTTTCTGCAGGAAAAAGAAGCAAACTTATAATTCTGATTTGAAACCTACCATTCAAGAATGCAATGAGCTTCATCAATTACAATGGCGCAGACATTTTTTTGATATCTTGGACTGTTAGCCAGTTCTTGTCCAAATTTACATGAGATGAATGCCTCAGGATGGGCGAATAATATGTTATAATAACCACTGGCAAGTTCTTCCTTCTTGCCATGCTTATCAACATCAAACTCCTCATTGTCATCAGTTGTGGACTGCTGTGATACATTTAGTGAGGACACCCTGAGATCCGTCATCAATAACTTGTGAATTTGGTCACTTATTAAGGAGTTTAACGGCGATATTACCAATAATACTGTAGTTACATCGCCAATGGATATAATACCTCGATTGGGATCTTCTTCGAACACCTTCTTACGAAACAGAATTAAAGGTAAAAGTTGGTATATTAACGACTTGCCATAACCAGTAGGAAGGACAGCCAATATATCTTCGCCCAAAAAATCTTTTCCAAACAAATTACCTGCTTCGGCTTTAAATTAACATCGGAATATAAACTATGGATAATAGAAAAGTGTAAACACATGAGAAAATGCATGCATTTCGAATCCTTTTGCATCTTTGAGGCTATTAAATCAATTCGCTGTCAAATTTCCACTCAAAGTCTCAAATTATAATATGTCGCGCTCACTCCTGCGAAACAATATATCAAACCAGAAGCTGCTATTAACAGTATATCGTATTTCAACCCCCCCCCCCCCTAGGGACCTCATGTGGCGATTATTTTTTGTGGGTGATGCGACCAGTGTCAACCAGAGTCTTTGCCGTAGCCCTCGCGGAGGTATAAAGACCCTGGCTTGTGATATATATATACATATATATAGTTTTTACCTCAAATAACCACAACAGTCTGTTTCATCCGTATCCCTGATGATTCCTATACGGATGAAACAGACTGTTGTGGTTATTTGAGGTAAAACGAAAAACTATATTACGCTCTATCTATACGGTATTGAGCACTGTTTGTGTTTCGTAAACCAAAACCTTAAGCTATATTCGCACCCGGTAATCGGTTGTGCACTCTTGTGTACGTTATTCATTTTATTTCTACTTCAAACATGCGACAATTTCGATTTGATTATTCACTAAAGAATATTCCGATACCATCACAGGATGCTCACTTAAAGAATTTGATTGAAAAAGTGGAAAGCGTAACAAAACGTATGAGATGGAAAGCTAATTTCTTCCTAAAAGGATCAATGACTCAAAACCAAAGCAACCTTTTCGGCCTTTCGTCTAACAAATCGCCTCCTTCAATTCCACTTTTGAAACCTTTCGAAGACGACTTGATAAAACTAATTGAAAACGTAAAATTCCGGCGTCCTAACGACCAATTTCAGACATCTTTGGCTAACGATTTGAAGAAAATTAATTCATCCCCCAACATTTTCATTTTCGCGGACAAAACTAGAAACATTTACGAAACGTCACTGAACACATACAACGAACTCTTACATGATAACATCACGAAAACGTACAAACATGGATCAGAGGACTTCATACATGAAATTGACTCCTAATTGAAAGAAATTTCGAGTAGGTTAGGAATTGGCGACAGAATTGAACGAATGAAAAAACGCGAAGCATTTATATCTTTAAAAGATCACAAAGAAAATTTCGAAAACAATCCAAAATGCCGACTAATTAATCCCGCAAAAATCGAATCCGGAAAACTAAGTAAGGTTATTTTAGATAAAATCAATTGCAATTTGAGACAAAAACTAAATTCAAATCAATGGAGAAATACACAACAAGTAATTTCATGGTTTGGCAATATAAACGATAAAGACAGGCACAGTTTTATTTCATTTGATATTGTGGATTTTTACCCATCCATTTCCGAAAAACTTTTAAATGAAGCATTGGCCTGGGCTTCTGAATTGACTACTATTACCGAAAACGATATTTCAATAATAAAACACGCAAGAAAATCTCTACTTTTCGGCAACGGCAAATTATGGACAAAAAAAGACGGAAGCAACAATTTATTTGACGTCACTATGGGTAGTTTCGACGGCGCTGAAATTTGTGAGCTGGTAGGCCTTTTCATTTTAAATCACTTAGGTACCCACCGGGCACACGACGTTGTTTCAACGTTGAAATTTGGTAGAAAAAAGGTTGCGACGTCGACAACCTAATATCTACGTTGCTCTGACGTTGTTTTACAAACATTGGTTCAACAGCAGCCAACAGACGTTGAATTCATGGTTAAATGTACGACGTCGATTTGTGAACCAATCTCAACGTTGTTTTAACGTGGATTCAACGTTGAATTATGGTTGACGAGATTGGCAACCTAATTTCAACGTTGTTTCAACGTCGAAACAGTAACGTTGATCCAATTTGCATAGTCAACCCTTTTTCAACGTCTATCCAACGTCTGGAAGGTCATTTCCAACGTTGATTCAACGTTGGATAAACGTCATTTTGCCCGCTGGGTAAGAGGTTTGGCAAGGAAAACATCGGCCTTTATAGAGATGATGGTTTGGCTATTATAAAAAGCAAATCCGCCCGTTTACTAGACAAAACTAGAAAAGAGCTACACAAAATTTTCGAGCAATTTGACCTGAAAATCACCGCCGAAGTAAATATGAACGTTGTAAATTTTTTAGATGTTACTTTCGACCTGATCAACGCAGAACACAAACCATACAGGAAACCCAATGACGATCCATTATACATCAACAGACACTCCAACCATCCACCAAGCATTACACTAAGACAATTACCTACAGCTATCAACAAACGCATTGCACTTCTCTCATCAGACGAACAAACATTTAAGGAATCTACACCTATTTACCAGAACGCTCTCAGACATAGTAACTTTGATCATGAATTTACATACACTCAGGATGCACCGCAAAGGACACGTAGGAATAGGCAAAGCAACATAATTTGGTTCAACCCACCATTTAGTAAGAGTGTTAACACGAACATAGGACGGGAATTCTTAAGTTTAATTGACAGACACTTCCCACTATAGCACAAACTACACAAGATTTTTAACAGAAACACTTTAAAAGTAAGCTACAGTTGCATGAACAACGTTAAGTCTATAATCACCAAACACAAAGCACATATAATTAGGAACAGTCAATCACAGAATACGGAAACTGACAACTGTAACTGCGACAACAAAAACACTTGCCCACTACCGAAACAATGTATGACCAACAACATTATTTACAAAGCCACAGTCACAACGAACAACACGAACGACACTAAACACTACATTGGTATGACAGCGACTACATTTAAAGTGTATATGCAATGAAAATTTCAACTTTGTGATTTTTGCATTATCTGAAAATTTCATCTTTTCTGATCATTTTAACACCAACCTTGTTGAATACTTCGAACTAGAAGTTTGTGAATTTTGCGTTTAAAGTTGGGCTACGAAAATTTTAGCTGATGAACTCCTCGCGCGGCCAAGAGGTAATGATGACGTATGCAGTGTGACACAGTGCACTCTTCCTATCTGTAAATACTATAAACAATGTAGCTTCAACTGCGTTGAATTGGGATTTTTTGATAATTTAAACAAAATCCAAATAAATCTGCCTTATGTAGATGCGATACATTGGTAAATCAATGCAATGATATCACCATGCGACGATTTATCGCTTATAAGCCGCCGAAATGCGAAATCAATGTTGTAGTACGTAGCAGTGTAGGTTTCAGATGTCGTTAGTTGTGGCATATTGTAGATATTTTCGTTGTATATAGTCCATTGTAGATAGTTGGATATAGCTAGAATTTATACAGTCCGTACTATGACAGAATAGGCGAAATGAAATTAATTGAAGCAAACGAAGTTGAGTATACCAAGAACGCAATAAACTATTAGGAATATAAGTACTAAAGTACCTCAGTTCGCACGTCATACCACAGTTAAGCTCGTTGCTTGTTTACGCTTCAAGTATGTCATGTTTTCGTCTATTTGCGTTTGCTGAAACGTGCCGTATCTATATACTGTTTGCGCGCAATTTATTCCTTAGTCACTGGTTGTGTACTAGCTGCGTCAAATGAATACTATTCTGGGCCGTAATTAATTTAATTCCTTTCTGACCTTATCAGTCAAGAAATTATGTTTTCACAACAGGCGTATTAACCACCGAGGCCGAAGCGCTCTATATATACTTCTTATTCGATCATACTCACGCGACAGAGTCCGAGTGAAGAACCATTTATTTGACTAGGTTAATTTATACTTATAATTTACAATATCAGTTTGCGTAACATGTGAATACACTTTTTATCACGTTCTCAGTTCTCTGCTGTGATTAGTTATATCCAGTGTTGCTTTGAGACGGATACCTCTTCCAGATTTCATTATACAGGCATGCTGGAAGCGGTCTAGAGTTTTCCCATCCGAGCATGGCGAATAACGCCGAATATCCATGCATCTCACTATCCACCGATATACGCCACTGCACGAAAGTATCAAAGTATCTAAACATTAACAATCGAACACTGAGACTGAGTTATTACCGTCACGAATGCACTGTTTCAAAGCAATAGATAGATTAAAATACACGTTTCAAAATCTTACAAAATACAACCATTTGCGATTATTGCGAATATATATAGAAAATACTGATGAAAACTGACCAAAATTTAGTGAAATTAATTTGACTTACTCATTTTGCCCGTCTTGAGTTCTGCTTGTTGATTTGCGGTAATATACTGTTCGAGTGTTCGGTGCGTAATAACAGGATAGTCCCAGTGCTATATAATACATTCAGCGTCTTTTCCATCGTACGTAAATTTGGCCATACATTCAAGAATCTCAAATGTGCACCTAAAATCAATTCACATGTTAAACGAAACACGCTAATAAAAAATTCGAGAAACGCTTTGATATTAGACTGCTTTGTTAAACTTACCATGAACTAACAGCTACGGTTTTCGTAAATCTCGCCTCAAGACCGTCTTCGCCTGTTTTGTCTTCCTCATAGTCATTAGTCACGATCAGCAACTGGCTCGAACTGATAGGGCTGTACAACAGACGATTGTGGCTCAACAACGTCCTCGTTATCTGTTGGCTGTTCTGTATCTGTCTGTGATTCAAAGCTTTCGCTATCGGACATTTTTTGCGTTTTTAAGGAAATATATACAAGCTACTGTCTTGCGATTAGTGATATTTTGTAGTTTTCATTCAAGTAAACACTTGGATGTGTCACACTGCATACGTCACAAGGCCGGAATTTTCGGTACCAGTCTTTTCATCAGGTAACGATTCAAAATAGCTGTATTTGTCGTACATTTTAGGTCATTTTCAATACATTTAAAGCGCTTTTACTAACTAAAAATATTTTTACGTAGTTAAGGGAGGTCATTTCTTTCCAAATTTCGAAATTTAAAATTTTTCATTTTTCCTTGCATATACACTTTAAGGAACGTTACGCTAACCACACTTCATCTTATCGTCATAAAAAAGACTCAAACAAAACGGAACTTTCGAAACATATTTGGAAATTAAAAGAAAACAATCAGGATTATACCATCAAATGGTCAATTTTAAAACACGCTATTTCGTACACAGGGGCATCAAAACGCTGCAATTTATGTTTGGAAGAAAAATTTTGCATTTTGAAAGACATAAACAAAGACAATTTACTCAATAAAAGAAGCGAAATTTTCGGCAAATGTCGTCACAAAAACCGTTTTCGAGTAAACAAGGTCGTTAACAAAACCTAATGACCCAAGCATGCATTGTTTCACCTAAGCATTGTTTCGCCTACACGCATTCCGCACATTCTTTCGATACCATAAAAGCAACCTACAATTTCGAAATTATTCACCACCTGATGATTCCTATACGGATGAAACAGACTGTTGTGGTTATTTGAGGTAAAACGAAAAACTATATATATATATATATATATATATATATATATATATAT